GCTCCGTCCAGCGGCGTCCCGGAAGCAGTCGTCTGCTTCCCCCCTAAGCCATGCTTAGATCCTACTTACCAGAGCGGAACTTGCTTCGGATCAGCATTGATCGTTCAGAAGCCAGGAGTGTCATCTTTGGAGTCCTTGGAGGTACAAAACCAAATCTGAAGTAGGTCCCAAGGTGTTGGGGAAGAGGGGAAAAAAGAGAGAAAATATGAACTGAAGAAGAAGGAAATCCATGTACTCTCCTCCCTATCCACAGATTTTTTATCCATGGATTCAAGCATCATCAGCTGGAAAATATTCAAAAAAATATATAAATTCCAAAAAGCAAATTTAATTCTGCCATTTTATATAAGGGACACCATTTTACTATGCCATTGTATTTAATAGGACTTGAGCATCCACAGATTTTGATATCCAGTGGGGGTCCCAGCCTAAATCTCATGGAGAATTGTGAATGTGTGTAGTAACATTTTCAGGCAATAACCTATTATACAGGGATCTTTTAGCACCTTTGAGACCAATTGTGCAAAATAAGTTGTAGCATAAGCTTTCGTAGTTTTGGTCTACTTCCTCAGACGCATGCATGGATCTCAGGATATACAAGCTTATGCTACAACTTCTTTTGCAAAATTTGTCTCAAAGGTGCTAGAAGATCCCTTTGCACACTGATATTCCAGACTAACACAGCTATGGCTGTATCTGCATTGCAGAAATAATGCGGTTTGACACTGCTTTAACGGCCATGGCTCTATGCTATGGAATTCTGGGATTTGTAGTTTTGTGAGATATTTAACCTTCTCTGTCAGAGAACTCTGGTGCCACTACAAATCCTAGAATTCCATCACACTGAGCCATCGCAGTCAAAAGTGATGCCAAATTGCATTATTTGTGCAATGCAAATGCAGCCCAGTTTTAATACACAAGGGTTGCTGTGCAGAGAAACGAATCTACCTCACAGGGTGGTTGTGAGAATAAAATGATGGCACGCGAGAGAAAAATCTGTCATCCCGGGGACAAAATCAGAATTGGTATTGGGCAAAAATGCAGCAGGGGGAGCCATTCCCCTAAATTGAAAGGAATGGGCTTTGCCTGTTGAGTTTCTGCACTTTTTCAAGCAAGACACAAGAGCTTGGCTTGAGGGTCTGTGAGGGAAGGACATGGCAATATGGTGGGTTTTTTAATGGTTGGGCCCCTCAAGTAGCCACTAACCTCCCATTTGCCTGCCCCGAAGAAGACTCTGGTTTCTCCTAGAAAACCCCCAAGTCCAGGCTGGTTTTTCCGGATGCCTCTTTGGCTTCACTAGGGTTAGTATGTAAAGAGATCTTGTAGCACTTTTGAGACTAAAGAAAGAAGTTGGCAGCATGAGCTTTTGTAGACTTAAGTCTGCTTCCTCAGATGCATTCGGCAGACTTAAGTCTATGAAAGCTCATGCTGCCAACTTCTTTATTTCAGTTAGTCTTAAAAGGTGCTACAAGATCTCTCTACTGATTCTACGGACTAACACGGCTATATCTGAATTTCACTAGGGTTGGCATCACTTGGTGTGATAACTTATAGTGTCACCCTCCCTCCATCGATCTCCTCCCATACCACACCATACACAATCTTTAGTAATGTTTTTTTGTACTGATGCTACCCATAATTCATAATTCCTGTGTATGTTTGTGACATAAAACAACTAACAAAATTAAAATTATACTTTTAAATTACAGTATCACAGCCAGCATGGCTTAGTGGTTTGAGTGCTGGATTATGACTCTGGAAGCCAGGATTCAATTCCTGGCTCAGCCATGACACCCACTGGCTGACCTCTGGCAAGTCACATACTCTCAACCTCAGGGGAAGGCAATGGCAAATCTCCTCTGAACATATCTTGACAAGAAAACCCCAGGATAAGTCCACCTTAGGGTCACCATAAGTCGGGAATGACAAAGGCACACAACAATGACTATACTATACTATATATGAGAGCCAGAGTGGTGTAGTGACTTGAGTGCTGGATCACTCTGGAGACCAGAATTCAATTCCCCACTCGGCCATGAACTCACTGGGTGACCTTGGACAAGTCACACACTCTCAGCCACACAAGAAAGCAATGGCAAATCTCCTCTGAACAAATCTTACAAGAAAAGCCAAGGACAATTTTGCCTGTTGCCGTAAGTCAGAAATGACTCAAAGTCATACAATTACAACAAAGGCACAGCTTAAATGCATTTACACCTATTCAAGTGTCTGCAAAGAGATCTTGCAGCACCTTTGAAACAAAGAAGCTTGGTAGACTTGAACCTTCTTCCTCAGATGCATCTTTTATGTCCAGTTGCATGCAGTTAAAGTGAAGATCTGGTCAGGTATGGTATTTAAATAAAATTTTGTAATTTTGTTTAAAATATTTTCCAAATTTATTTAAAAACCTGGGTCAGTCCTTTCTCCTCCCACCGAACCTCACTCCACTCACACCTACCTCCAATGTTTTAAAGGGAGGCAGCAGCTGAACCCCATAACCCAGTTATGGCATATATATGTCTGTCCCTGGTTTCCACTCCACTAAATGCATCTGAGGAAAGAGACTGAAGTCTACAAAAGCTCATGCTGCCAGTTTCTTTCTTTCGGTTAGTCTCAAAGGGGCTGCAAAAATTTCTTTCTACATACTGATTCCACAGACTATTTACCCATAACCCAGTGTTCCCCAAACTTTGGTCCTGCAGATGTTTTGGACTCCAGCTCCCAGAATTCCTGACCGTTGGCCAAGCTGTCTGGGGCTTCTGGGAGGTGAAGTCCAAAACACCTGGACCAAAGTTTGGGAAGCACTCCAAAGCCAGATATTTGGGGAGCATTGCTGTCACCCTTTTAGGTGCCGCCTGTTACCCCAAGCACCCTCAAGTGACTCCCCTTCCTTCAGACCCCCTCCCCC